GTGGTTTTACCTTGGTATGCTAACATAGTCAACTTTTTGGTTGCTAACAAATTTCCTTTTGATTCCTCTAAGGCACAGAAAGATAAAATCAGGAGTAATGCCAAGTACTATGTATGGGATGAACCGTACCTTTGGAAACATTGTGCTGGCCAAGTGGTAAGGCGGTGTGTACCTGATGATGAAATTGCTTCAATCCTTACCTTTCGTCATTCTTATGCTTGTGGAGGCCACTTTGGTGCTAAGAGAACAGCAAGGAAGGTGTTGGAGTCTGGGTTTTATTGGCCAACTTTGTTTAAAGATTCATACTCATTTTGCAAGTGTTGTGATGCTTGTCAAAAGTCAGGTAATTTATCCCGAAGAAATGAAATGCCACAAACTCTGGTCCTATTTTGTGAGGTCTTTGATGTTTGGGGCATTGATTTTATGGGCCCATTTCCTGTATCTTTTGGTTTTGTCTATATTTTACTTGCGGTTGATTATGTTTCGAAGTGGGTGGAAGCTAAAGCCACTAGGCACTGCTGGAAATCTGCATTTTTTCGACCACCAAAAAATGGTCGGAAAAGGGAGATTTCTGGTCGAAAATGCAGTTTCTGACCAACTTACCGACCACTTAATGGGTTCGGAAAAAAAGCCCTCGCTGTTACCGACAACTACTCAAGGTGGTCGGAAATACCGGCTTCTTTTTAAAGACGTCGGAACTACTAGTTGTCGGATAGGGAGAGCATATTTCCTACCACTGTGTAGTCGGGTAATTGGTCGGAATTACCATCCACCGGTGGTCGGTAAGATTTACAAAGAAAAAATAAAAAGTGGTCGGTAGGATTTACTACTAACAAAAAAAATAAAATTTAAAATTCTACAAATATCAAATAAATTAAACTTGTTACAATTATACAAATTTCAGCACCACAATATTAAATTCTACAATACAATTAACAATTTATGGAAATCTAACATTAATCAATCATTTAAATCAAGGTGTAGCCATTGTTTCACCATCAAAAATACATTTGTCAAAATATTAGTTACACATGCATGCTAATAAGGTTTTGTACCAATTGTTTCAGCATCCAAGCGAGTTTGCATTGATGATAAAACTTCAAGAAGAACACAATACCAGGAAGATGATGTATTAAGTTTTAAGCCAAATTTAGATACCAAAAGGCAATAACTTGTAGGATAGGACTCAATTTTTTTCACCTAACTTCTAGGTGTCAGACCATCATATAACTTAGTCATGAAAACAAGCAAGCGAACACACAAAAAGTACTAGACTCCTACTTATCTAAAAAAGGGGCTGTCAGTTAATCATCTATTCATCTATAATTAGGGAAATAATCTAGCAGAGTGGAAATAAAGAAAATGTTCCAGTAAGCCATCCCAATTCCCAGAAATGTAAACATGCACAAAAGAAGGGGAAAAAAAATGAGAAGGGATGCTACTGTATCATTTCATCTTTACATCCATTTTTCCATATGCAAATGTGGTCAAGTTTGAAAAACTATCTAAATACTCTGTCACACTGATCATGAACCATGAACCATGAAGCATGTTTATGAACAGCCTTGCAGCCTAAGGACCAACAGTCAGCAAAGGTATGCAGTTAACCCCATAAAAGAAGCATGCAAAAGCAAAGTTAGTATGTCCAGTAGAATAATGTGTGATAATACCTTCAGCTTGCTTATAGCACGCAAACAGTCATCCTCGGACACAGTTTCACGAGCACCCTTCCTTTTCTGAGCAAGAATTTTACATAGCTCCTCCAAGCTTAACAAACCTCCATTATGAGGCCTTGTTGCCAAACAAATATCAATAATTTGTACCCGTGACTAGACAGGTAGGTAGGGCAATGTTACAGTTCATATCTCAAACAACATTGAAAACAAGAAATGAGCGATGTCACATTCATGATAAACAAAGATAATCTTTAGGTATGTAACTAACCAAGTTCATAATAGAAGTCACCAATTCATAGGAGCTCCACCCAAAAAACCCTTGTTTGAGGCAAGAGGGTCTACTCCTATTTTGGCACGCATCTCATGAAACTGTGATCTGAATGCAGGATTCTTCCGGATAAAATAAAATAAAGACGGACCTGCTCGCTGCCGTTGGCTTGAAAGTCCTCGCTGCTGCTGCCTCTTCAGCTAACAGTTCATTATTCTTAATAGCAGTAAGCCAGAAATGTAGAACTCCTTTCTTTACGGTTTTGTCATTGATCTTCTTGGTCCATAGACACTGCTTCAGCTTTCTCACCTTCAACTATACCATTCACTATTTCATATCTCTGCACGTTTTATTTTTTCACTTCATTATGAATTTGAGACAGAGAATTACAAGCCAATGGAACAACAGATGTATAACAATAATATGTAAAAGAGCCTTACAAACCTTTGTATATAGTGGTTGATAAAGCATATGATACTTGGCTTCAAGTGTTGCTCTCTCTTCAAGAAACTTAGCCTCCAATTCATCATGTTGAGTCTGCACAATTGAGCACCAAAATAAGGTACCAAAATCCACCAAGGGAGCATCAATAATCAATAAGATGTAAGAGAATGTGAAAAATCAAAACTTATGGAGATTGCAAATAAGTGCTGCCTTTCCAAGTCACCCCAAGCTTCAAGAAGTTTGATCTGAACAATCATTGATCACAAAAGGCTCAGAAAATTTTATGAAGATAGATACAGTATGCATTATTATCACACTAGTGTTAGTTACTGACTTGAGAATGAAGTACATAAGTGAGTTCCATCTCCCATCTTCTCCTTCTGCCACTGCAGCTTCTTCTGCATAACAGAATGGTGCAGCTTAACAAGACCATCCCATGCATATATTGAGTTGTTCTGCAAAAGCCCAAAGTTTCATCAGAAACTATCAAGAAAATCTTCTGAAGCAACAGAATTGAATTAAAGATTTAGACAACATATATAAATAAGACATGAAGTTAGAATAAAGGAGAACTTCAACATTAGAAATGCATTTCAGACATGGAAATGACATACTTCAGTTTCAGACCTTGATCCATAGTTCAATTTAACAATGGTAGTGTATGCATTTCAACTACTATGAAGGGACTAAATTATGGTTACCAAGGATAAACTGATAAAAAATGTAAGATAAAACAGATAGAAGTAAAGCAATAGTAGCAAACACCAAAGAGAGAGCCTTCATATGCTAATGAAATAAGACCCGAAATTTAAATTTAAAAAAAATCATTTATCCTTCAATCACTAAAGTTCCCTTGATGACGACATTAAAAACACAGGATAACTCCTACTTAAAACAATAAAAATAAATAAATAAATAGATGTCAAAATATATGCAAATGATTTGAATAAAGAGGAACCAAAATTGGAAAAGATCTTATAGTCTAGTGTTTAAATGCTTTAATGTTCCTTTTTGAGCCCTGTAAAGGTTTCAGAGATTATAAACTAACTCCCTCAATTCTTCATCATTTGGTCATTGTGAACTTCTCAGAACTGATGCTCATATCAAATGCATGATGGAACAATTATATTCCCACATGTCCCAATGAAAACCCGGCCAATTTCTCTCTCAGTTTTATGCTAGTTTCTCAATGAATCCTATAACCAGTTTGGAACTCAAGTTGAGGAGGTTTTTGCAGTGGCTAAAGCAAGTTCAGTCAGTTCATTAGAGCTCATTGAATACCTAAAACTTGTGTCCACAATATATTAAATTTAATCCTAAAATCTGAAAATAAAAAGTTGATTGAGCTTGCTATTACTATCATATTATAATATCAAATATATACCTTTTCCATGCCTAAAAATGCGAGTGATGTTGTGGTTTTTAGTATCCCAGACTCGAATCGTGCCATCATCTGATCTAGACACCAACAGAGATCCATCCATACTGAAAGCTAAGCATGTAATGCCCTTACTGTTTCAAGGACAAGGTCAAATCATTTAAAGTAAATCACGAAAAGACAGCATAGGTAAGTCAAGTATCCATTCAGATAAGACTTCCTAAGAATTTAATGAAGAAAATGAAATACAGAGTTTACCATTCATAAATTTATAGAAACCAAATGCGTGGATGTTTGAATACCTATGTTCAGTCAAAGAACCATTGGCATACTTCAGTTTCAGACCTTGATCCATAGTTCAATTTAACAATGGTAGTGTATGACATAGTAGTGAGTAAAACCAGAATCCTGTGTAATTGTATATGATCTAGAAAAGTAGTGAGTTTGGAATCATCACCTTCAGGACAATACCGCCACTTGAAGCCCCAAATGCCATGTGCCCTTCTGAGTCGACACAAATAACTCCGATAGTCACTAATGCAGTTCTAATCTAGGGCATTTTGCGAGGAAGACTGGTCACCATCTCGGCTTCCATTTGATTTGTCACACAATTGAGCTTCTATTTATAGAGCAAAACATTCAGACTCATTTGTTAAACAGCAAATCCATTTATAAAACTGGAATTACAATATAACATTATAGGCTTATAGCCTTATACAAAACAAGTTTCCACAGAATTATATTCCACTTAAGTCAAAACAACCTCAAAAATTAATGACAGCTTTATACCTGATACTGCACACGTTTTCACAGAATTGGTTGTTGCGGAAGAAACATCATTAACAGCTTTGGCTCCATCAAGCATTCCTTTATATTTTTTCCAGAGGTTTCTGGTCCTCTCTGTCAAAAGTCAGAGTCTCAACAACAGAAGGAATATGATTTTAACTTGCTCCATTTTATGTAACAACCAAGTTAGCATGTATGGAGAAAAACTTGACACTGTTCATATAGACATTACTGGAAAGGGGAATAATACCTCACCAGCTTCTGTTATTGTTTCTGGTAAAACAACACCTTTGGAGTTTGCCCATGCTCGAGCCCCTTCACCAACCAAAAACCTACAAAGGTAGGGAAGCTCCTTCAGAACACATTTAGACAACAAATGAGAAACATTCTCAGAAACTCTTGTGAATTCACAAATGACAAAGCAACACTCTATAACTGATAAACTATATTGCAAACCATCAAGAAATCTCAATTCTCGTTAAAAGCTGTAATAACACCAACTACCCCTAGAGGATTCCACACCTGTCCATGAAGAATAGACAAGGAACATCAAGTGTAGTATAGAAAAAAAAAAACATAATACCAAAATTATGGTCTGTTATCTACTTCACCTCCAACATCACATGATTAGGGCCTGTTGAAAAAAAAAAAAACACAACTAATTAAATTGAACTTCTGAAAAAACATTGCAAAGAAGCCCAAAAATCCAGAAGAAGCAACATATCAATATCCATATCATAAATTTTCTGATTGTATCTGATTCACTTCTACCTTATCTTATAAGTTAAAACCAAGTAAAGCTAATTAATCTAGAGAAGAGACAATAAGGAAAAGAAAGATATCCTCACAAATATAACTCCTAGAGCATTTACAAAGAAATCATATATAAGTAGGTGAAGAAGAGTGGACTCACGTTCTAATGGTATGACTGATCCATTTAGTTGTCAGCTCAAACCAACAGCGAAGTCACACATGTCAATAATTTCCTGATTAAATTGTTTTCAAAGTTATATCACTAATTCATTCTGGCATGAATGCTAAAAGAAAATATATAACTAATCAGTAATTAGTATCATCACTTGCATTTAAGTATTGCCAATTTAATATGTAATAGCCATTTGAAAAAATGTGATAATAAAAAAGGAAGATCCAAGATGATTATGCACTAGCACATAGGCCCAAGTAGTAAGTAATTTAGAAATGACAACCATCAATTATTCTCAGGGAAAATGGAATTAACTTGTACATTATTGTTGGCAGGAGAACAAGTCAAAGAATAGTTTCATTTCTTGCAGAAGAATAAAACTCTTTTGTTACACCACAGACTTAATTAGTAAAGTATACATACTTGAACCTCCCCAATTCTTTCGGGTAGTATTTTCCCCATTTCAAGTGAAACAAGTCGGCCAAAGTAGTAAAGTTTTGCTCTAAGTGCATCACCAATCTGCCTAACAATATCACATCTTTTTGGTGCTGGAATCTGAGACAAAATAGAAACAATCAAGACATTTAGTTTACACTAAAGGAGTCAAGAAGAGATCAAGTACAAAATTAAGATGTTTTTCACACTGTAGGCACACAATTATGTGAGTGACAATACTTTAGGCAGGTGATGCATGCCGGCTATAAGCTTGAATCTCAGGTTCTACTTCTTCCGGCGAGTATATTTTTGAGCGAAAACAGAGCGAATCCGTCCATATCTGAGCCGTCAAGTTTGATTTTAGGGATTAGGAGAAGAAATAAATAACAAAAAATTCGAAAGGAGACTTATCAGGGTGGTGGAGGCTAGCAGTGGCAGAGGCTAGCAGGGTTAGTGGCTAGTGGAGACGGAATGGCGGTGGTGTTTACTGTAGGTCGCGGCGGTTCGCAGCGTCGGCGTCAAAGGAGAGGCGGCGTCGGCGTCTTAGGAGAGGTGGCATCGGCGGAGGAGGAGAGGGCAGCGTCGGCGGAGGAGGCAGCGTCGACTGAGAGATGGATGGAGATCGAGTGAGATGAATAGTTCGAAGTAGCAGTAGTGGAGGAAATTAAATGGATGGCGGAGCTGAGCTTATATTTATTTATTTATTTATTTTCTACCACTTATGGTTGTCGGAAAAAAAGATTAATTTTAAAATTTTCAAGTTCGAAATAATTTTCCGACTACATTTTAATAGTGGTCGGTATTTACTGACCACTAAGAGAAGGTGGTCGAAAATTTAGACCATTTTTGGACTAGTGCAAGCTTTGGACGAAAAAAGGAAAAAAAATTACTTTTTGTGACCACTTTTTTGGGTGGTCGGAATGAGGTCGGAAAAATGATAATTTCCAGCAGTGAGGACTGATGACTCTAAAGCTGTTGCAGATTTTATCAAAACTAACATCTTTTTCAAATTTGGCGAATAAGTGATCAGGGTACTCACTTTTGTAATCGCACCATCGAAGCTTTGCTTAAAAAGTATCATGCCACCCATAAGGTGTCAACTGCCTACCACCCGCAGACTAACGGGCAAGCAGAGGTATCCAACCGAGAGGTAAAGTCAATCCTTGAGAAAACAGTCAACCCAAACAGGAAGGATTGGAGTTTGCGATTAGATGATGCATTGTGGGCGTATAGAACCGCATACAAAACACCTATTGGTATGTCCCCTTATCGCATTGTGTTTGGAAAAGCTTGTCACCTCCCCGTTGAGTTGGAACACAAAGCTTATTGGGCTGTCAAGAGCTTTAATATGAACATTGATGAAAGTGGCCTACACCGGAAGTTGCAACTTTCTGAGTTGGAGGAGATTCGCAATGAGGCCTACGAGAATTCAAGAATCTACAAAGAAAAGACAAAAGCATTTCATGACAAGATGCTTTTGAGAAAGGAATTTTCAATTGGACAAAAGGTCCTACTCTTCCAGTCACGTCTTCGGCTATTCCCAGGTAAGCTACGTTCTCGATGGGTTGGTCCATTTATTATCACTAATATTTTTCCTCATGGTGCGATAGAGATTCAAAGTTTACAGACTTCTAAGATATTCAAGGTGAATGGCCATCGGCTTAAACCCTACCATGAAGGGGCTCAAGTTGATTATATTGCCGACATACTTCTTGAAGATTCCAGCTACTTTGAATAATATGCACAACTAGAAGGGGGGTTTGTTCTATTCTTTTTTTTTTTTTATCGTTATTTTTCATTTAATAATCCTTTTCTGCATGTTTTTATTCAACATTAGGGACAATGTTGGTAATAAGTGTGGGGGATGAGATTTAGTTTTAGTTTTATTATTTGTTTGCTTATGTCACGATTTTTGTCAAAATTTTTCAAAATTTTCACAAATATTTTCTTAGTATTTTATGCTAAATAAGTATTATTTTGAAAAATGATCATATTTTCCTTTCTTGTATTTTCTTAGTATTTTATGCTAAATAAGTATTATTTTGAAAAATGATCATATTTTCCTTTCTTGGAATTCATGACATGATTGAATAAATAGTTTGGCAAGTTGTGATTAGTTTGTTAGCATTTCCTGTTCGATGTGTAGTGGCTAGATTAAGTAAGCAATAAACCTGTGAGATTTTGAGTCATTGACTGACACTTCGGTCTTATTTTCTTTCTATTGTGTGATTTCTTCCATAATTTTGTTTCCCTAGAACTTGCCTTGATTCTCTTTTAAAGCTAATTAGACCATGCATGATTCAAGTGTGATTAAGGCCATTATTTGATTTTGAGCTTCACTAGCCAAATAACCGGTTTTATGCAAATAACTAAAATGAGTGTTATGCAAATAATTTTGTTGACTTAACTTATCGATATCAATAAACTACATTTAAAAAAAATACCACTTAGAGTAATTTTTTTGGCAGATGATGGTTACTCGCAGATAGTAAATAGTAAATTCATCAAACATCTTTTTATAAACCGCTGATACTACTAATTAGATAAAACAACTTACTCAATTAACGATCAGCTAACAATTAATCATCAAACACCAAAATATATTTTTTAAGTATGCAAATAGTCATTTATGTGACTAATTATTGGTCAATTTTCTCTTTATTTATGCACACAAGTAATATATTCTAAAATACTAGATCACATAATTAATTGACTTCGTTGGAATTTTTTTTTTTTTTTTTAAGATGAATATCAGAATCTGTGGTCATGTAAAGAGTGGCAACTAAATTGTAAAAGTCAACCTTTGACTTATAGTTTTAGTCTATATTTTCAAGTTAATTACATTTTGGGTCGTAGATTTATAGATGACAATTTACTTTTCACTTTTTATCAGAACATCCACTTTCCTTGTGTGCATAAATAAAGAGAAAATTGACCAATAATTATTCATAGAAATGACTATTTGCATATACTTCAAAAATATATTTGAGTGTTTGATGATTAACGGTATGATTAGCTGATACCTAATTGTGTTAGTTGTTTTGACCAGTTGATAGTATTATAAATTAATTGTTTACTATCCGCGATTAATCATTTGATGCCAAAAAAAATTACTCCAAGTAGTCTACAAAGGGGTTTTCAACAATGTATAATTCAAATAAAGCAGTTATATTATGTATTATTCTTACAAAAATATGACAAAATTGTTAGATATTTACATATTACATATATATTCCGTGCAAATAATTTCTATACCTGAGTTACTACACAACAAGATAATGAGACCAATTAATACAAATCCGAAATGTAATTATTTCCTTGAACTAAAGCAATAATAACATCATAAAACATAATCGATTAAACTAAAATCATCAATTACACTATATAATATTCACTGGTATAATTTACATTATTAAATATTCACTGGTATAATTTACATTATTAAATATTCATGTAATTATTATTAATATATTATAACAAATACAGTCCCCGTGTATCACACTGGCGTAAATACTAGTAATATTGATATAAATACGATTGTTACTGACGACGTAATTTTAATACTAAATCATGTGATAGGGCTAGTAATATCGGGCATCCTCCGGTTGTATCCCAACAAAAAAAAAAAAAAAATGTTCATTTTTTAGCCCACAAATTATATTCAAAAAAAAAAAAAAAAAAAAAAAAAAAAAAAAAAACGGGGAAAGCACCCAATTTATCCATGCATGATTTCTTTACTTATGAAAATGAAAACAAAAAATTGTTTTAACAATATCATAAAAATGTACACTAATATTATATTACATATTCCTCCTTAACTCATTTACTGACTACTGTTAATTTGTATTATAAACAATTGAATTTCAACTTTTGATCAACTCAATCTCTCATAGTTTGCTATGAACTGTTTCACCTTCACTTCTTGTTTGAAAATCCAATCAGATCCAAGTACGAGGCTTAGGTTGGAGCTTCGGACCTTGGAAACGACGTAGTTTAAGTTGTTGGCTAGGAAGACGTAAGACAACGGCACGTCTCGGTAATGTCGCGCCTTGCTGTCTAGCTTGCAGAGGAGAACGAGAACGAGCCACGCGAACTTCGCGGAGACGGTTGAAGCGCCGGAATCGTCGTTCATGGACGACGGACTCGAGAAGTACGACTCCGGTAAGGGAGATTGGGACGACAGCGGCCAGTCTGCTATGATTTCGGAAACGGTGCCGCTGTAATCGGCGAGGAAAACGAGGAAGTTCATCACGTACCGAGTCAGTGGATGGATTGCGCCGCCTGGAGGTGGTTTTGTGGAATCCTTCTGTATCGCCACATCAAACTCCGACAACATTGCTCTAATGGCGTCGCCTAACTTCGACAGTGACGTTGCAGCCTGAGACTTCACCGCCGCAGTAGAATCGAAGCTGAAAATCGATTGAATTTCCGGCGAGAGTTCCGAAATCGCCTCGTAAAGGTCCAAATAGCGAAACATCTTCTCGATCGAGGTCTTCTTATATTTAGCCGCCGATTCAAGGAAATCGAACAAATTGATAGCACCGTCTTTAGAGATTTTGGCGAAACACGATTCTCTGATGTGATCGGAAGCCGAGAAGACTTCATCGCAGAGAATTCTCTCACCGAGGAAAAGAGTTCTCACCGCGATTCTGATACCGCTCTGCCAATTCAAAATCTTCCTCTCCAGTACTTCCCAGTCCATTTTTTGAATTTGAGAAGAACTGAATTTCTCAATTCCAAGATGATACAACGTCTCGTCTATAACTGATTTTCTGATTATGTTATACACCTTCGCGCATTCCTTTCCATATCCGGCTCCAATCATACAAGTCGCAATGGCTTTCAAATCCGCAACCGAAGGATCGGAGATTGAAATTCCGGCGACTTTGTCCAGAACCTCTCCACCTTCCTGCGGATATGGAGAATCGCCATCGGAATCTGAAACAGTTGACTGCGAGGACGCTCTGGAAGACCTCGCCGAGACAGTTTCTAGATCGAGAAAATATCGGTTCCCAGACAGAATAGTGTAGAACTCCTTCTGCAACCGCTTCATGGCAATCTGCATCAAAGTCTGCGCGCGAACAAGCAGCAGCTCAGAATCCGAAGAATGCGCAACGGCGAACACCATTACGCGCTGCAAGTCATCGACGCAGCCGAGGAACTGCTTCGCCTCCACCGGACTGTCCCGGAAGAGGTACGATATTCTGGCGATGGTGACGGAGGCCTGAACGTCCCATTTCCTGATCACCGGTTCGACGGTCGTGATCGTTTCTGCGAATAGCCTATCGTAAAATGTATAACGAGGCGGCG